TAATCACACATGCATATACACTGAGTGGCCAGATTATTATGACAACCCCATCACCCCATTTGCCTACAAACGTCATATTGGTAAAGTGTAGTACATGAGATATTGTATTTTTGACCATGAGTTACAGACTGACAATTAACCACAAAACAGGAGTTTTTTTTAATAATCTCAGCATAGGTTTGTTCCATCTTTTTTGTGATGGCATATAATTTGGCAGTAGGGGTTCTAATCTAGATGCATGGAAGAAGTACTGGATTGTTCAATAGGCACATTGGGCCGGTAACCGCAGGTGCCTTACCCAAAGGGATGGCTTTTCCCCACATGTTTTTTTCCTGTAATACAGTATGTACAGTAAACTGCCCATTATCCAGCATTCAAGCAATCGGATTGAAGCTAGGCGGCAGGTGAATGGGGGGTGGTTGCTTAAGAGTTACTATTAACGCTCAAGCAACCAGAAACTACAGATATCTGGCACCTACCAATCCTCGTGGGTGCCGGATAACTAGTAGTTTACTGTAGAAAAGTCATATTGCTACAATATTTAAATCAAGGTTAGGTCCAGTGATACAAAAACATTTAATGTTTAAATTGTGTGCCTACAGGTTCCAGGAATTCATATTTAAAAACATACAAAACCAGGCTTTATTGATCAATGAGGCTTAATGTACACTATGAGATAATCTGAGCACTGGAATAAGTATGTGATCCTGCACCTGCTTTTCCAGCCTTTATGCTGCTTAGTTTCAGATTCTCATTAAAAAGCTGGTGGTTCTCAGAGTTTAAGCCTGATTCACACCTAGGCAACAGCGTTTTCATACGTAGAAGCAAGCATTTTTTTGCCACACGATTTTGCGATATTTTTAGGAGCAGATTGTGACACATTGATGTAGATGTGCAAAATGCGCGCAAACAACTGCAACTTGTGTTGCAAGTTTCCTATTGACTCTATGGGGATAAAACGAGTTGTAATCTGCAAAAAAGAAGTTCATGTACTTTTTTCAGGCATTTTGCTTATTGCGACAAAACGTTCAAGTATGAACAGGGGCCATAAGAATGAAAGGGACTTTTTTTGTGAAGCATTTTGTTGCGCTTATTCAGCTGCGACAATATGCTTGCAAGTGTTTTGTAGCACCTTTTCTGTCCCACACCCCCCCATGCATTTCTATGGCCCTGTTTACATCTGAGTGTCTTGTCCCTTGAAGCAAAATGTCCCGTCACTTGAAGAAAGTAAATTAGCTTCTTTTTGGCAGATCCTGCACTTCAATGGTAATGCTCAAAAACGCAGGTTTGCTGCGTTTTTGCACATTTTTCGTGCATTTTAAGGGCGTTCGCCCACTCACATCAATGTGCTAAGGATAACTTGCAAAAATATAACTTGCAAAAACACGCGCCTTTGTGTTCACGGGTAAAAGTGTGCAAAACTGCACTAAACAAAGATGTGCTGAAGACGTGCACATTTGATGTCACTCTGGTGTGAATGTAGGCGGACTTAAACAGCTCCTGATATAAATGACATATAGGGAAGGAACGGTTATAGTGTCAGTTGATGTATGGCATGCCAGTGGAGATAAGACAGGAGGTGCTGAGCGGATAAAGGCTGCATCACAGACATAAAAAAGCAATCAGATTAGTCAGGGCTGTCACTACCATGGGGTGAGTGAGGCACTCGCCCCTGGTGCAGCTGAGAGGGGGCGCAGCCATGGCCGGCCTGGCTGCGTCTCTTCGTCCCTGTTGCCATGGCGAGCACAGGGCGCCATTGGCAACAGGGGTGCCAGGCAGCCAACACAGCCGCGGCTCGGCAGGGAGAAGATGAGCGTCACAGGCTCTAGCTTCTCCTCGGATCTCCGCTGCTCTCCCCCACCTGTATGGGCAGAGGACTCTGTGTCCTCAATCTCTTTTTTTATTTCAATAAGGAAATGTCACGGGTCTGTTTAGACCCCCGATATTTTCCTGAAGCCCCCAAAAGTAAAAAAAATTTATAATATAAAATAAATAAATACCCCCTACACACACATACACACACTCATACACACATGTGCAAAGAGTACAAATTGATTTCGGACCAAATGAACAGAAACTAAAAATGTTTTTATTCGTTTTGTCAAACACACACATTTTTATGCTTTTTTTAAATTGGCCACCAGCGCATTCTGCGCATGCGTGCCGCCATGCTGGAGGCGGGGCGCATAACGTTGCATACCGCACATGTCTGTTGGGGGGGCACAATTTTCTGTTCTTGCCTCGGGCGCAAAAGGAGTTAGCTACGGCTCTGAGATTAGAGCTCAGACAATGACCTCTTGCACCCAAATCAAAGATAGCAAAGTGAGCCCTTCACCCCCCACCTCCCTCCGGACTGAGTTTTAAAGGGAGGGAATTAGTACTCAGACAGTTTTGAAAACCTTGTGTGATAACTAGTTTCTCCCTCAGAAGCTAGAACACTTGTTTTGTAACCCCCCAAGGCTTAAAGTACACTTGTCATGAGAGAATTGTGTTGGCTGCCATTGATGACCTCTAATTTTCAGAATGTTAGTTGGCTTCAATGTTTTCTGAGTCATTAATCTGAAAGAGATCCAGAGATAAGGAGTTCTGATAATCTTATCACTACTTTGTACCATTCATATTCTGGCCCTGTTGTTAATGCTCAACACAGCCTTACAACTAGCACTTCTGAAGGAGACCAGAAATGACAGCCCCTCTCTTTTCTCTCATGACAGATGTACTTTAAACATGAATGGCTGCCTACAGTGACTATTTGAATTGAAGTATGTGACAACACAACAAAGATGGCTGAAGGGGGTAGGGATGTACCCATATGTCTGCAGGCATAGGGGCCAGCGTGGCAAAAAAATTTAATAAATTACTGCTAATGGGGGGACCGTGAGCATTCAGCCCCCTCTTGAACTATACCGGGCCACATGCCCTCCACATGGGGAGAGTGCCTTATTTGGCAAGGCACTTTGTTCCTATGTAGTTCCCCACATTTGGTCTCCAAGAGGATGTGGGGGCCTGCGGGGGAGGGGAATCTGGTAGTGCCAGATTTTAAGCTAAGGGGGGTCTCCAGATATTTAGACCCCCTACATAATACCTCTTACTTATTCACAAAAAATTTGCAAGCCAAATTATCACAATGACACCATTGACTAAGTATTTTACAAAAAAGCAAACAAACAAAAAAAAGTCCCAGGTGCTATCGGGATCCTGGGGTTCTATGGGGATCTTGAGGCATTGGGTTTTTAATAGGGGTCTTGAGGCATTGGGGTCCTTGGGTATAAGGGGAGTGTTATGGTGTCCTAAGGGATAAAGGGTGTGTTATGGGGTCCTTAGGCATGAGGGACATTTTATGGGGTACTTAGGCATGAGGGGAGTGTTACGAGGGTTCTTAGGTATGAGGGAACTGTTATTGGGGTCCTATGGTATAAAGGGGATGTCATAGGAGTCCTTTGGTATAGGGGGTTGTTATGGGTGTTTTATGGGGTTCCTGAGGTAGGGGGTGTGTTATGACAGGTCTGATATGTGTGTGATATGTGGCGGTCCTGAAGCATTGGGTCAGCAGGGGTTATTTTAGCAGGAGAGGGTGTGGCTGGGTGTATGTTTTGTAGTTATTTGTTGGTCTGTTACTCTCAGCAGGGTTGTTGTGGTGTGTGATGGGGGTTAGGGAAATGTGATTTTGGTGGGGGTGTTTGGGGTGTGTGATGGGGGGAATGTTACAGCATCGGTAAATGGGCCACTGTTGCGGTCAGTGGGTGACAGCAGCAGGGGGCACATTGTGTCAGTGGATGACAACAGCTATGGAGCAAGCTGGCACATAATTAGAGAGCTGCTTCCCGTCCGGCTGGCCAACAGTGCTGAGTGCTAAGGGGGTGCTCACCACAGGCCCATGATGCTCTTAATCAGGCCTTGGGTGCAGCCTCGACCAGCAGCTTCCTCACAGGATTGGATGATGATCACTGGAGTTTCCTGCAAACTTCAGCCAATCCGTGATGGCGGGAAGGGCAGGGTTAAATGAACTTTGCACGATATTCTAATTATTCGAGTTTCACCTGTATATTAGCAAAGGCACACTGACAGGTCCTCTTTATGGAGAAATTAGAGTTCTCTAGGACCCCTAATGTGACCTGGGGACCCCAAAAGATGCTAATGAAGCAGAGATCTGCTTCATCAGCTTCTTCTCTCTTGCTATAGTAGCCAGATGACTGACAGGTGAATGCGGAAGTGATGTAATACACATCACTTCTGCATTCACAGCAAGGAGGAAGATGCTGATCTCCCTCCTGACGCCCTCACACATCCCAACCTGCAAAACCTTATTTCAGGGAGGTTCCCGTCTCATTTCAGGGAGGTGCCCTTTCTGTTTTTTGGGTTTTTTTTTTTACAGCGGCCGTTGTCAGAATATAAAAGAAATAATAAATATATAATATATATACACACATACACACACACACACACACACATATACATACATACATACACACAGAGTAAAATAAAATCCATATAACAATAATATAATAATATTATATATTTATTTATATATACATCAGATTTCTCTGGCTATAGCAGCCAGATGACTGACAGGTGAGTGCGGAAGTGATGTAATACACATCACTTCTGCATTCACAGCAAGGAGGAAGGTGCTGATCTCCCTCCCGAGCCGGTCCCGGGCCGCAGATGGGGTAGCGGATCCCGAGATTGAAGGTGAGGGGTCAGTAGACAAAATCGCGCCATACAACCGATTTTTAGCTATAGAACCGCTGATCGGTTGCATGTGAAACAGCTGTTAATGGCTGTAAAAATGAGCGGGTCTTTCCTACCCGTGCGCGCACGCTAGGGGGCGCGCGCGCGGCAGGCAAACATTGCCATCTGGGGACGGCAACCCGCTGATACAAATCTGCCGTCCGTCCGCTTTTTCTTAACGGGCAGACGGCAGGAGGTTAAAAAACAACTTGAAATTGTTTAATGGGGAAAAATTACATAGATAAATAAAAATAATGTGCCTGCATAAGTCTACCCCCTTTAAAGATTTCAGTTTGTCTTTAATTGAATTGCACAGATTATAGGCCACATTAAAGGTGGTAATCTTTTATATGAGTTTTTTTACATCTCAAAAACCTGGCATTTTTACATAGTGTATGGAATTTCTATATCCACTGTATTTAGGTGGTTGCGCAAGTAAAACAAATATCCCTTGGGGATTTCTCTTTCCTGCATCTTGTTATCTGCAATACTGATATGTTCTGACTAGTTAGGGAATAAAGGAAATTACTTCTGGAATGTAACGCAATACAAACATACAGTAAATGTTTCTAAAAATATGAACAATTTTTTAGATTTAATCTGCACATCTGACAAAAGAAACCTGATCCATTTTTGCTTCTGCTGCAAGAACAGTGGTATGAAATGACTCACCCCCAGTTAAAGAAGAACTATAAAAAAAAAAAAAATGTTTTGCGCAGGGCCGAAACTAGGAGGGGGCGGGCGGTTGGCACGTGCCCCAGGCGCTGCATTAGGAGGGGTGCTGCCTGACAGGGCAACTAAACGAATTAGGGTCAGACCTATCGCATGAGCCACCCCTGCTGTCATTTTTTATCTCCCCCCCCCCTTCGAGATACTCCATCTGTCCTGCTGGGATCTTCCATCTGCCCCCAAGATCCTCCATCAGCCCTGCTGCGATCTCTCATCTGCCCCCAGATCCTCCATCTGTTCTACTGCGACCTTCCATCTGCCTCCCTGAGATCCTCCATCTGTCCTGCTGTGATCTTCCATCTGCCTCCCTGAGATCCTCCATTTGCCCTGCAGCGATCTTCCATCAACCCCTCTAAGATCCTCCATGAGTCCTGCTGCGTTCTTCCATCTGCCCCGAGATCTTCCATTTGCGCTACTGCGGTCTTTTATTCACCCCCACTGAGATTCTTCATCTGCCCTGCTGCAATCTCCCATTTTTTTTTTTACTTGGGGTCCCTTCTAACTTTCGTACCTGACCTAAAGGGTCTGACATGGTTTGGGAGGGGGACACCGCGCTGTTTATTTTCCCTTTTCTTTACATCTTTTTTTTATCATTTTATTAACTTTTTAACATTTTTCTATTTTTTACATTTATTTAAATAATTCAAAAACATTTTTTTTCCTTTTTTTTTACATTTTTTAAAAATGCTGCTCGCTACCTCAGAGGTCGGCGGCATTTGGCTATTCACTCACTGCCGTACGACCTCTATGGGAACGAATGAACTGAACTGCTGGAGGTTGGACTCAGCTGAACGTGCAGAGCATGTTTGGCTGACCGAAGCCAGCCGAAGGCTGAACAGCCGTACAGAGCCGAAGTCAATAGCCGAACACCGTTTAGCTCAGTTTCAATTCGGCTCAGTTATTCACTCGGTTGCCTTTGGCAGCTTAGTGAATAACCCTCTAAGTGCAAGAAGAGCATACACCTAAACATGATATCACTCATATTCACTGCAACCCCCTCCCATCTCCATAGTAAACATAAAAGTTAGCCAAAGACTGGTTAGGCCTATTCTCCATACTTAAAATCATCCTTTTGCTCCAATTTTACATTGATTTATCATCTGTGGCGTCTCTGCAATTCTTGTAGCAAAATGCTTGTGTGTTCTATATGTCTCTATTACATTTTAACCTAGTCTTGCTTATTAAAACTGTCCGACTGCTGGCCAATTTTATACTGCTTTATCATTGTAGCGCTCACCCCTGAAGGAGCCACTGAAAATAAATTGGCTCTTCTGTCCCCAAGCTAGGATCTACCACCCTGACAGGATCCAGGGCACACCAACACACCTCTTACCAAATCCTTTGGCACTCAGACCAAATCCTTGGCTTGTTCAGCAGTTCCTGAGTCTGCCAGCGAGAGGCAGACATCCCCTTCCTCTCCAGCCAACCTCCCTTCGTTTCTCACCAACGTTGTCTCGCAGGGAACACAGGATCTGGTCACTGGTGGAAGTTGATCATCTCTCTAGATATCACTCAGCAGGACATGGATTGCGATTCCTCAGCAGGCCTCCCGGTCACAGAATGTGAATTGTCGTCCAGGCCACAATATCCCCGCAATATAGGATCACACTGCTGGCTCTCCACGGACTGAGCATGCCAGGAAACTCCAGAGCAGCTCACTCATCCTCCCAAAAAACACAGCCTTATGGGAATCGTAGTATCAACAGTTTCTCACAGTACAGCTTATCCATGGCTCTGCACTGCAACTCCCACAACTCTTATGTCCCACAGGCTGCACAGTAACAATTAACTATTTACAGGCAGACATGTATTTAATCCTGTAGCAATAGGGTCTACATTATCTTCACTCTTTTAATTCTTGTAGTAAAACACCTGTCTGTATGCTGTGTCTTGCTTGCTATAAGACTCAGAAGTGACCCATGAAGAGCAGAGCAGAATAATTATCAACCATTTCACAACTACAATCAATTTTTAAGTTAAATACATGTTAAATATATAATACCCGGGCGTGGTCCGCACCCCAAACCCCCCCCCCAGTGACGCCACTGGTCTTGCTCAATAAATATAACTGCCCTGTTGCTGGCCATTTTACCAGTGCTGTAACATCTGTGGTCCCTTAATTATTAATGTAGGAAAAATAGAGACTGGCCAGGGATAGGACTGATTTGCATCTGCGAGAAAGGGGACAGTCTCAGCAAACCACTGATCAATTTCTATCTGCTGGTGGTATGTACTGCCACTAAAACTACTTGAAAAGGGCATTTTTTTAAACTGTAATGAATCTTATTGGGGAGCTGCTGTATGTAAGCCAAGCTAATTGTGAAAGAAAAAAAATAAATTCCACAGCCAAATATGTGCTACCCGATGCTGTTTTTATTTTAAGCTCTTTTGAAGGCTATTCTGGCTTTTGGCTAGGATCAAGTGTTGTATTAGTTCTTATACAGGAGAAAAAACCAGCTGCATGCTTATTTTATGATAGGGGTTACTGGCTGGGGAGTATACTGTCTGGTATGATAGGGATTTTCAGGGACTCCCATCTAGAAAAGTGGGAACATCTAGTGCCCCCAACAAAAGGTGGGGGAGGTAAGTACCCCTCAGAAGAGGTGTAATTCTGGTCTGGCCAGAGGCTTGGGGGGCAGAGGTCACAGGGCTTGTGCTTCCTGGGAGTAGTGATCTGTGGATGCCAGCTAATTTATTCTGGGTTTGGGACCCCACTGTGCAGTTTAATGCAAAAAAAAAAGTGTCCACACGTCTTTGTGGTAATCTCCATCCCAAGCTTTTCAAAACATATACAACCGTAACCCGACTTCATAACACGTGACTATACACACTTCTGAACCAAGCCAGCTGCCACAAGGATGTGGCAATACCACTCCCAGCCTTATCTTGGTCAGAGATTTCCCAGCTTGTGGGACAACAATCTCAGGCCAGCAGACAGAGTGATTGTCACTAGGGTTGGTTAACTCTGCAGTTAATCCTTTACACCCCAAACAGTAGCTATACACTAGCTATACACTATATAGTAGCACTCTTCATGGGGACGAGGATACTTTAGGTTCTCATTTAGAGCATAGAGATAAGTGTAACAATTTTTAAGGTCATCCTTTAATAAAAGAAACGGTGCAGGAAAAATTTACAGAAAAACATGTTAATAAAGAGAGACAGAAATAACAATGGTAAAATAAAAGGTAGTAAAAAGCGAGTACTTAACAGTCCTGGGTTTATAAGTTCTGACAGAGTCCAGTTCAATAATCAGAAGATGAATCTGAATGGCTCTTTCTCCAAGTAAGGCTTGCAGAGATTTTTTTTAGATTAAAGGAGAACTCTTCTTAGATGTTACACAAGCTTCTCCTTCTGATGTTACAAGAGCCTCCTCCTGATGTTAAAAAGAGAGCCCCATTAGCTGCCTCTGCAGCATCTTTTTGTCAGTCCTCTAGGGGGTTATGGAGCTGGCCCATAAGGCGGGGCTTGGGGGGGTGAGCAGGAGGGCTAAGCCTTTACGATGTCCTTCTATGCTCCAGCTAAACTGTCAAATTCATAAGTATCCACCTAGCTTAATATTCTTACACATTACCCCTAAATTATTGTGTATCATGAAATTAGCTGTAAATAGAAACCAAACTTGTCAGGGGTATCCATCATAATTGGCCCAGGAGGAGTAATGTGGCTTGTCAGGCCTCTGACCATGGTAACCCCCCCATGATTGATATGTGTGGATTTCTCTCTGCAAAATCAGTTATTTATGCAACTGATTTTCCAATATCATTCTCCAATTCTGAGTATTGAAAATTGGGTTAATATTGTCACTCTCAGTTTATAACTCAGACGGATACCACACATTCCTTCCTTATCCATCAGATGATCTGTAGGTGATTAGCTGAGCTGGTCAAGACAATTACCATGGTATTAGTGATTTACGACCCATATCGTAAAAAAGATCACTAAGGCTAATCCACATCAGTTTTAGAGAAAGTTCTAGATAAACAATCAGGTTTTAGTACTTAACTAAGGACTATAATAATCACAAGCCGAGATTACCAGGAATAGTTGCTTGAATTTGAGGATGCCTGGGAAATTTAGGGCAGCCTGAGGTCACTTGAACTGAATAGAAGGCTGCATTTTTTTAAGATGAGGGAAGAGAGAATTTCATAATAAATATTGATTTTCTCAAAACTCATTACCATCGCACCTTCCCTCATGTGGTGGTATCAGAAGGAATTACAAATTATTTTGCTATGCCAACTGTTGCAGGTTTCAGTTGCCACAACAATCCATCGGCATTGCCATCGGAACTGCTTTTTTGTGTTGAATTGTAAAATCATACTGTTGTAGAATTAAAGGAGAACTATGGGGTTAGGGCTTTTCCCCATAGTTCTCTGAGGGTAACGGGAGGACACAAACTAGCGTCCTCCTGTCACCCAAAGCTCAGTATACTGAGTATACTGAGACGCTGCAGCCGGAATGTATACCGACAATTCTGCCTGGATCCACCTAGCTGCATGAGTGACCGATGGCTCTGTCTATCTAGAGGCAGAGCCAGCTGTACCCGCCCCCTACCACATTCGTTCCGACCAGTCAGAGCTGGAGGATCGGAGAGGGGAGGGAGGGGAATCCCTGCAGGGAGTCGTGAGTGACAGTCACGGCTCTCTGCACAGATAGATCGAGGAGTGAGCGAGCGCCGGTATGTGTTCGCTCACTTCTCAATCTACTGGGCTGACCTGTGACAGTTTCATTGTCACAGATCGGCTCAGATTATGAGGCTGAGTGAATATCACTCGCCTCATAATTCTCCTTTAAACTCCAGTGTAGCAGTTTACCGTTCTCCCCAGAAACTTACGATAACCAACTGAGTGGGTTGTGATTGGTGATTACTGTAAAGCTGCGTCCAAAGATATTGTTGTAACTTTTGTAGCGCCCACACAATCGCAAGACACTCCTTTTCGATAGTGGCATATTCTAACCTCTCAGATAAGTAGTTTCCTGCTCGGGTAGAAGATGGGATGTTCTTATTCTGCCTGGTCTACCTGACTCAGGACTGCGCCTAGACCGTACATGGATGTGTCGGTTTGCACTAGACACTGGCAGGGGAAATTCAGGGCCTGTAGCACAGGAGCACTGGACAGCACCTCCTTCAAGGCCTGAAATGCCCTCTCACATTTTGGATTCCACGACACCAACTTCGGCAATTTCTTTTTTTAGTTAGTTAGGGGCTTAGCCAGGCTGCTGTAGTTATGAACAAACTTTCTATGGTAACCAGCTGTGCCCAAATAGGAAATAACTCTTTTCTTTGTTTGCGGGTTAGGCCAGGCCATGATGGCCTTCACCTTCCCAGTCTCAGGCATCAGAGTGCCTCCTCCTACCCGGTGTCCCAAGAACTGGGCTTCGGTCATGCCTATCTGACTTTTACTGGGTTTGACTGTCAGATTGGCTACCGCCAACTTGTCTAGGACCTAAGTGGGACTGAACACCGCAATGTCATCCAGGTAGGCTACTGCAAAGGCCTCCAGGCCTTCCTATAGGTCATTCATGACCCTGTGAAATGTGGCTGTGGCATTCTTCATCCCAAACTGAATTCCTGTAAACTTGAATAAAAAGAATGTGGTAATGAAGGCCGATTTTTCCAGAGCCTCAGGTGCGAGAGGAATTTGCCAATACCCCTGGCCCAGGTTCATGATTGCTAAATAGCTGGCGCTGCCAGCTTATCCAGCAACTTATCAATCCTCGGCATGGGGTACGCATCTGCGGTTGTGGTGATGGCATTCAGCTTTCTGTAGTCCACGCAGAACCTGGTAGTCTGATAGTTCTTGGGGACATGGACTACAGGTGACACCCAGGCACTGAGGGACTTCTGAATGTCCCCCAGCTGCAGCATTTCATCAATTTTCTTTTGAGGTTGATAGGCTGACTGTTTGATCGGAGGATGCACCCCGGTGTCCACCTGGTGGACAGCAAGGTGCTTCCTCCCAGGTTTCCCAGTGAACCGTTCATGGTACCCTGCTAGCACTTCCCCTAGATGAGGAGGTATCTGGGTAGAAGACAGGTGTGCATTGATATTGAGGTCTGAGTCTCCTTTCCTTATGTCAGCTAATAAGTCTAACAGTGGGTCTGCCTCTTATGGCTCAGGCCTGCTACACACTGGCAGGAAGTAGGCTGTGCGCTCATGATGTGCTTTGAGCATGCTCACAAAGAATGCCTTCTGCCGCCCACCCACTGCCCCCAGAATAACCAAGTAGGTGACATCATTCAGACATTTGGTGATCTAGTACGTCCCCTCCCAGGTTGCTTGTAATTTCTTCTGCAGCATAGGAAGTAGAACATACACTTTCTGACTCATGCTGTACGTCCACTCTCTAGCGTTGTTATCATACCAGCATTTTTGTTTAGTCTGGGCCTGTGCCATGTTCTCTTGTACCAGTCCCACCAATGTCTCCATTTTGTCTCGGAACCTTAGGACATAAACCACCATCGAGACCTCAGGATCAGCAATTTTGCTCTCCCAACTCGCGGATTCGGTCCAAGGGCCCTCTCACCCGCCGCTCGTAGAAGTGTTCAAATGGCAAAAAACAGGTGGACACCTGAGGCACCTCTCTGTAAGTAAACATCAAATGAGGCAAATACCATTCCCAGTCCTTTCCCTGGGATTTCAAAACGTTCGCAGCATCTGCTTTAACGCACCATTGAACCGCTCACACAGACCATTCATATGTGAATGGTAAGGAATGGCCATGATACGCATCCTCTGAATTTTCTGACAGAGAGCCTGCATCAGTTGGGATACAAACTGCCCTCCGCAATCACTAATCAGCTTGGCTGGGAACCCCACACTGGTTAAGTTCCCTTGCAAAGCATCCTTCCTGCATGGATGGAAAAGTTAGCTACAACCTGCTGAGGACTGGGTGGCATAGTCCACTATTGTCAAAATATAACGTTTGCCGAACTACTAGGGATAGCGAGTGGCCCAAAAATATCCAGTGCTACCCTCTTAAAAGGTTTGTCAATTATGGGAAAAAGGTTGAAGTGGAGCCCTGTGCTCATCTCCTGCCTTTCCAACCCGGCAGGTAACACAGGACGGACAGTAGTCAGCTATGTCCATGCACATGGCAGCCCAGAAAAAATTGTTTCATTCGGTCCTCGCTCTACGTGACCCCTACGTGTCCTGCTAGGGGAATTTCATGAGCCACTTTCAATAAATGTTCCCTAAACTGTTTGGGCAAAAGGAGCTGCAACCCTCTCATGTCAACCTCATCACCTGCTGAAGGTAGTGCCTGCCAGTAAAGCTTCCCACTGTTCCAATAAATATGATACTTTTCTCCCTCAGCAAGGGGTTGACAAGCCAGACTTCTAAGTTGTTCAAGTGTTTTCTCAGTCTCAAAGGTGGCACTACAAGTCCCAGCCAGCTGTCCTGAGGCATGTGTCTGTGCCTCAGTGGCCCTTGCAGCACTGCGAGTGATTACAAGTATTGGCAATGTGTTGGTGTCATGACAGTTAGCCTCAACATCTGCAGTATCAACATTCACATTTCCAGAATTAACGTTTACAGTATTTGTTACACATGTATCTGTTACCCATTTTTGCACGACAGTCTCCTCTCTATCCATAGGAGCAGGAGAACTTTGCAATTCCACCCCACCCTCCTTCTCCCTCTGTCCACCCCCAAGTTGCCCAAATATTAACCCCATATCTGTACACAATACCTTTGTGCATCCAGAGGGTCAAGTTGAGGAATTCAGGCAGGCGCATAATAGGAAATCAGAGTCTGTACCTAACAATACAGGTGTGGGAATTTTCGTCAGAGACCCCCACTTCTCTCATCCTGCCCAATCAATAGAAACATGTGCCCGAGGCACCTGGGAACGAGTGCCCTCAACTCTGGTGAGGGTAAGGAACTTTTCTGGGATCATATCTTTGTATTTTATGAGCTCCGTACTGACGAGAGTGACCTCTGCTTCAGTGTCTCAGAAGCCAGTCATGGTTCAGTTATCGATGACAGCAGGCTGCAAGTTGGTCCCATTATTTCCCGCCTTTCCGTTGACGAACAGCAAAGAAGAAAGGGTGCTGACCAGCTGGCCAGATGATGTCATCTTCTTCTGCTCAGGACACTGGCCCCTGAGAGGTCCGGGCTTGCCACAGTTGAAACACCTGCGGTGGTCAGCTGAGGCTGGCTTGACATCAGACACTTCAACTGCTGGTCTCTGGGAGGGCTGAGTTACTAATGTAGCAGAGGTTGCTATTGGCGATTTCTCTCCTTTCCAGCCACTAGGTGGAGCTCTGCGATGGTCAGATACCTTACTGCTGGTATAGGTATCCGTCAATTCGGCTACCGATGTGGCAGAGTCTGGTTTGCGCTCCAGCACAAACTGCCTAATTTCTGCAGGGCAAATGTGCTGTAGCTGATCCTGGATCATCAGGTTGTCTCCAGCACATGTGGTGTGAATCGGCCCTAAAGTTTTTACAATGTCATATAACAGGAAGGTAAAATAGTGTGAATGCCAGAAGCTAAAGGCTCTTGGTGTTTCTGATGCTCATAGGGGTAAGCAGTAAATACAGCTTCAATGTCTCTGGGTAAGACCTGACATAACAGAGAGTCATCCACCCCCTTTTGGTGACACATAGATTCCACTGCACACTGTCACAAAGGTGATACTGTGTTTATTGGAACCATCCAATCACGTGCAAGAAAAAATCCTGACCACGATTGGGTTTCCAAAGTGTGCATAACCCTATTTACTAAACTCACACTCTACTCCATTAGTAATCTAACCCCAGAGAATGATAGTAGTAGACTTTGGTTGTTTTGCTTCGAAATATGTAAAAATGCGCCTTCACCTTTTAATTTGGTACCTTCCTTGATTTATCTTTTATAAAACATTAATAGAGATTCCTACAATGACGCCACACTTTCTGGGCCTCTGCTCAACCTTTGTACTTCTTTCTTCCACATTTTACTTCTTGTAGTTCCTGGCTTCAGTATTTCCTTATGCACTGCCCCCAAAACAAGTGTGAAAATTAGAGATTTGTACTCCACAATGCTGCAATTCCGGTTAAAGGAGAACTATGGGGTCAGTGTTTTTCCCCATAGTTCTCCTTAGGGTAACGGGAGGACACAAACTAGCGTCCTCCCGTTACCCTAAGCTCAGTATACCGCGAGCTACAGCTCGCGGTATACTGAGACGCCGCAGCCAGAGCGGATCCCGACCTCGACATCGAGACCCGCCCAGCTGCGTGAGTGACAGCTGGCTCTGCCTATCTAGAGGCAGAGCCAGCTGTACCCGCCCCCTCCCCCGTCCGTTCTGCCAGTCAGCACTGGCAGATCGGAGCGGGGAGAGGGGAATCCAGCCACTCCCCCTGTCACGGTAGAGAGCCGTGACAGGATCGAGAGGTGAGCGAACCCGGTATGTGTTCGCTCACCTCCCGATCTACTGAGCCGACCTGTGACAGTCTCATTGTCACAGGTCGGCTAGAACTATGAGGTGAGTGGAAATCACTCATCTCATAGTTCTCCTTTAAGGACTCAGAAAGTACTGAAATCAGAATGACTGGCATATTTTCTTTATATCTTTAAAATATATCTTTAAAATACTGCCACCTTGATATATCTCCATTAGAAATGACATGACAAATGATAGTGTTACCCACTGGTGCAGACAATGCTATATTTATATAAACTGCCATAAGAAGAAAATTACTGAGAAAACTAGCTGTGCAGGGCTGTATCTTTGTTAAGGCACAATTGTTCTATTATTTTTTACTGAATGTTACTTGTCAGAATACACGAATGGAGTGAGCAACTGATCGATAACTCCTGTTGCAAGTTCTGTTCAGTTGAGACTTTTCCAACATGCTCCTTCGATCAGCTGATTGAGGCATGCCGGGTGAAAGGGTGCCGACAGGGGCACCCACTGTGCGAAGATCGGCCGGTTAATCAGGAGCCGGTCAACATTTGTACCATGTGTAGCCTCCTACACACAGAGTAGAGTGGTCTTTAGCTGCAGTCTCTGGTCAGCTGGGACTGGGGAAATTTTAAAAATAAGAAAAAAAAAATCTTAAGATGCTCAGGTATTTTTTTCATGTTGCCTGATTTAATTGTTCACATTATGAAACATACTTTTAGGCTTTAAGGCCTTGTGGTAGGGAAGAGAGAAGCAGTCCAAAAGTAAATCCTGTCTCTGGTAGACCATAAGAATCCATAAAACCACTGGTGCCTTCCAGAGCTAAACTACCACTTTTGGGAAGTGGTGCCACACAGCACTAAAATTGCAATGGGTATGCTGGCATGTAGGACATTATGTAGTTGTATCAGATTTGTTACAATAAATTAATAAAGGATTCATAGTGCTAAATTGTGGGCTACTACTACATCTACTAGTATGGCAATGGCCAAGAGCTTTCAGGATACTTCACTTTCCCACTTCAGACACTTGCATCTATGGTTTATAGCAGTAGAAAACATACCTATTGTATAAATATAGTTAACACCATTCCCAGGTAGAGCAAAGCTGTATTTTTAGATGAATGGTCTCTAGGGAGCAAAATACAGTCTCATTTACATTCTCCATTCTCTAGTGAATGCATAGATGCTGGTCTCTGTTGAATTGATGGACTAGTTGGCTGGATTTTGATGGAGATTTGGCTGGTGTACGGTAAAGGACTGTATTTTCAGCAAAGTGCACATTACATTTACACAATTGCAGTGCCAAATAGAAGGGAGAAATGGCATATTTATGTATAATGTAAGCACCTTTCTGGTAATGCATTATAAGGCAGATCAGTAGTACTCAGCAGAGACATTTTAGGTCATGTAAACTGTAGTGTTGTGTGCTAATTTGAACTGTTCAAAAAAGTTTGTCTTGTGAGCCCTAATGCAAAATACATAATATGTTTACAGGACCAAATATCTAACAACTAAAAGGAAGTGACAGTGTGTGAATATAAAGGTTATGACCATGATTAACAAATTGTTGGGCAGCAGTTGTGTTTATGCAATATGCAACAGTGTTGTAACCGCATAAAATGTTTTTTTTTTAACCAACAGGGAAATGTATTACGCTGTGATACATGTGATAAATGTGATAAATGTATATATAGAGGATACATGATACATGATACATGTGATACATCTTGCATTTTTCTGTATAGTGGAGCTTTTTGCATTACCCATGGCATGGTAAGAAAAGGGCTGGGCTTAAAAGAAATGATTAGGGAATTATGAAAAACAATTCTGATACATAGGGAAACAGCCTTCTATGTTTATCTTGAGAGATCCCTTTCGACAAGAGAACAGGAAATTAAAATAACTTTGAAAGCTTAGCACATATTTAAAGGGCCCATTAATGGCAGAACATTGGGCTTATAGCACGTTACCGTGCCCGCTATCAAACAAGGCACATAACGCGCAGTACCGTGTGCTATGTGCATTCCCACCCCAACGTACCTCCCGGAGTTGCAGTATTGTGGTACGCACATTGCGCTGTGCTGCAATGCAGGGCCGCTGGGAGGAGCCAATGTGTTATTAAAAAAAAAATTACGTTTAAAACTTTGCTGACAGACAAAAAGGAGGACACTTACCCAGTCTCTTCTGTCATAAAAAGCCTGCCTGTTAGCACTTTTTTAAAATAAGAATTTAATAGAGATAATTCCTAACTGGATTATATTTAGTTTTCTTACTCGCTGTTTATTTTAAACAACAGGGATTGGTTGTGTCAGATACATACTTTTAAATCATGACAGTGTTTGTCTTTCGCATTCTTAATTAATGGAACTTCCTTCACACTAAGAGGCAGAAGCAATCAACCCACTGAGCTTAGGGAAGACCTACAGAGCTCAGAAAAAGGGGAAGCAAATGCTCAGGCTGCCTACAGCCTAGTAACAACACATATTAACGTTAGGGACACAACAGCATCGGGAAGGCTTTGTTTATCCCTTAGAAATGTATTTCTCTTTGTCTGAATAATCGCATTATGCAAACTGTTACAGCAGACCTTTACCCATATCTTTAAAATAACAACAAAGGCACCTTTGGAAATATTTAGTAATGACAATCTACAAACACATACTTCTACATAATTGCAGGCTTTGTATTCCTTGTATACCTTATTTCTCTTTTCTTCCTAAGTCTCCTGACAGTAGCCATGTTTACTAAGGGCAAATTACTAGCTCTCCTATTACTTCCTGGATTTCTGGCACATGTGACTAGAACATGTGACCATGCACATCATCTCAGGGGATGAAAATGCCTTTGATGAAGATAAAAAAAGTATGCGATCATTTGTTTATTAGGGTGCATGGGCTGTCAGCATACCAGAATGTATACTTCTGGGATCGCACTCATCTTGTTATATTACATTGCTACCCATAAAAGCATTTTGCAACAAGTACATCACAAAGTGATATTAATTGACACAACTGGGATTGAAACATTGACATAATTGATATAACTGCTTTTGACTATTTTTTCAGGCATATCGTATGGTGTGTAAAACATAGTGCTTATACCATATAGGAAACCGTGCAGATCTCAATGCTGGACCTGTTTTTTTCTATACAGACGTGTTTGTTATATTATCTAATGTATTGTTCATGGGGACTGTGTATTGTTCACGGGGACTGTGTATTATTCACGGGGACTGTATACATATCTATGCTGATATATCTACAGATTTGTTGGATATATATATATTATCCATCTATTATATATATAGTCAACATGATATTTGCATGAATAAATATTATACTGTGTACGTATTTCAAAAGAAGCATGCGCATACAAAACAAATGAAAAAAATAAATAAAAAACCTTGCTTGTATATATGTCCAAAGATGCAGAAGGATAACAGGGCAGTGAACTCAAATCAGGGTGCACTGGGAATGCAACTATTGATGACCCATTCAAAAGCCTACAAAAAAAAAATATCACAGACCTGTACACTCCTAGCAGTTGGAGGTGGTAAAAAGAAGCGATCAAAAATAAAAAATAAAAGTAGGAGACATAAAAACAAATATTCCATCCAGTGACTCACCTCAGAATAGATGCATACAGTTGCATAAACACAGGAGGAGACAGACCAACTCGCCCATCAGCTCTTGTCACGTGTCCTCTCTATAAATATGGCCGTCTGTGTCCCGGGCGATCACATGACCGTGACGCCCACTGATGGCCTCTTCAGTGCGCATGTGCATGGATTTGTGCGCATGCGCTTTGATCAATTCTCTTGAGCCGGGAATAGACAGCAGCCAGAACAGTCGCTATACCAAACGCTGCCGCCTACAGGACATCATGGGAGAAGGTCTCCCATGGATTAGGCGGCAGCGATAAAGGATGGTATATGTCTATCCTGGCTCCAGAGCTTGCATATAGAGAGGGAACCCGTAGCAATGTCCAAACAAAAATCTCAACCAATATGTAAAAAACAAAAAAGGGGGGGGGGGGGGGGGGGAACCTTGAAAAAAAAAAAATAAATGCAAGGAAAAATACCTGGTAAAGGAATAAAACGCACAAAA